GCGGCACGGTCACCGCCGGGACTGTGGCGCACGGTCACCGCGGGGACTGTGGCGCACGGTCACCGCCGGGGACTGTGGCGGCTCGGTCACCGCCAGGGACTGTGGCGGCACGGTCACCGTCGGGACTGTGGCGGCACGGTCACCGCGGGACTGTGGCGGCACGGTCACCGCCGGGGACTGCGGCACACGGTCACCGCCGGGACTGTGGCGGCTCGGTCACCGCCGGGGACCGGGGACTGTGGGCCGCGGTCACCGTCAGGGACTGTGGCGGCACGGTCACCGCCGGAGACTGTAGCAGCACGGTCGCCGCCGAGGACTGTGGCGGCTCGGTCACCGCCGGGGACTGCGGCAGCACGGTCACCGCCGGGGACTGTGGCAGCACGGTCACCGCCGGGGACTGTGGCAGCACGGTCTGCAGGCACGGTCGCCGCACTACTTGTGCTCGGACGGTGGAGGGCTGGCCGAACCGTTGTGAGACGTCCTGCTGCCAGCGCCATTCATGAGCGGGACCGGTGGGGACCACTTGCGCCCCTGGAAGCCCTCCATGACGTCCGTCAGCTTCAGGGCGTAAGCGATCTCGAACAGGGTGTTGTAGCCCAGTACCCTGTCGACACGACGGTACGCGAGTCACGACAGTGCTGATCACACCAGTGCGGGTCTACGTGCGGCTCGGTCGACAGGTCACTACACTGCTGGTACTGCCGTCTCATGAAGGCTAGTGAAAAAGGTGAGCGTCCATGGCGTGCCTCAACATTTCTGATCATCTTTTTCGTTTAGCGAATACTGTTTGAAGCACATATTGTGTTTTGTTTTGTGGCTGTTCATGTTAACATATACAAGCTAATCATATTGCTGGCTAGGCGCATTTATATAAATCTATACAGTCGTCGCAGCAAAGACCTTGATCACGAGCAAGCTCGTGACGACAGGTCAGCTTATTTCATACGTGCAACAAAATATGTTATTACCACCAATGATATCGACCAATGCATAAAGAGACACGCATGCGTCTGTCGAAATCACCAGCAACATCATACTCTTGGACGCAGGCAGCGCGGGCCGGATGTAGACGGGGGTGAGCTACACGTGTTCTGCGCCAACAGGCTCCATTCCGACCGGACCTACGCAGACTAGTTGACAGGCCCCATCCGCAAGGACCATCGAGGACCATCGACAGACCCCAGCATGACCAGACCAGCGACAGACCACGGCTTGAACAAACCAGCAGCAGACCATGGCATGACCGGACACGCGGCAGACTCCGGCATGACCGAACACGCCGCAGACCCCGGCATGACCAGACCAGCGGCAGACCCCAGCATGACCATACCAGCGAAAGAGTGCGACGTTAATCAAACCAGCGGCAGACCACGGCATGGCCAGACCAGACCACTGCGTGCTGCTGCAGGATGCACAGTCGCCTGGACAGACGTACATTGAAAGCCGACGGGACGGATCAACCGTCTGGCGGCGATGCAGGGTGCCTCGGACGGCATGGATATACCCGCCTTTGAGCGGTTCACAGAGACCCCATGTTTTGTCCGGCATGCATACTTTCAACACAGGCACGCGCGTGCTCACCAACACATGCAGAGGACGGTGAGTGGGCAGCTGGATCAGCCTCTCGCCACACTGTCCCGCTGGTTTCATCAGCTCGGTCTAACAAAAACTAGCCAACACTGTCCTCCACACACACCCTGAGGTCAAACAAAGCCTGCCCTGGAAGCGCACCTCACAGTTAGTTCAGCAGGGTGCTGGGTCGCGACTGAGCACGAGAGGCAGACGGCACGAGCGATTCTGCCAGCACACACTAGCCGGCCGCATGCACTCTTACTGTGGACCGCACTAAGCTGTCTTTCTGGCGACCGGTAAAGGCGTCCATGCTGCGCTCAACTCTAAAGCTGCGGCCGAGCCACCAGTAGGCGTTACTGGGGCAAGAGCCTGGCGCAGCGACGGCGTCCGTCACACGCGCGCCAGTCGACAGACGGTCTGACACGGCCGGCCCAGCGCCAGCGCGACCGCCCCGGGACACGCTCAGCACAGCCACACCTACCTGCTGCAGCGGCACACCGCCAAACAGGATCTTACTGAATGGGGTGTTCCTCATTTGTGTCGGGTTTTGAGCTGAAATGGCCATTTTGAAGATCGTTCGGTGCAGTTCACAGCCTTGCCCTTCTTGCGACCTACAACCCTCCGGTTTCTGGGCTACATGTCCGCGAAGTTGTGCAGACTATTTCGTGCGCATTATTTCAAGGTCATTCAAGCATGTATGACGCCATAGAAATATCATCAAAACCCTGCGACCACACTGACCATGCCGTGTTCAAGGCCAAAAATAATATAATTGTCGAGCCGTTCATATCTAATGCTCGTGAGGACGATTTCCAGACATTATGGGTGTCAATCGGCTATCAAACAATGCTGTACAAGCTATGCAAGAGTCTAACACGAATTACGTTTTGCGCTACGTAATATAAGAAGTTATCAGTCTTCCCAGTTATTACGGGAATAGGACTCGATACCCAAAATCTTAAGATTCGCGCAATAACCGAACGTTCCTTAACGCAATCAAACAATTATGTAATAAAGAGCATATTAATTAAATCGAGAAATTGTATTGCTTAGAGCGGTCTTTTACACTTGAAATACGCCAATAGCTAAAAGCGAGCCTATTTAATCATATCTAATGCTTACTGGAAATGTGGAGCATTCTCTTTAACCATTGCCTTGATCAAACTGAGCCAATCACCCATAAGGTCAGGACACAGCCTGAGTTTGCGACGGGCGTTAGTGCCATGATTCCCGACGGGAGGGGCTTATTTTTTACCAGCGAGTGCCAATCTTATTAATAGTACCCAACCACTGCGGACAGCCTGACGGAAATAAGACTTGATCCCAGCCCCCACTGACGCTAAAATGTACAGTACCTTGCACATCATTGGGCTATCGATGTGGGTTTGCCCTGGTGCTTCTTAAGGAATAATTCGCATTTGAAGACATTGAAGCAAGCATCAGAATGATAAAATAAACTCACTTATAGGTATAAGTACACTTTTAAGCAGAAAGTACTGGTCTAGACAAAACATTTCCCTTTTGAGTAAATATGCTCCTCAATACGTCATTGTTTGAATACGTCATGGTACCTAGCACATCACTGATTGACAGCCCATCCGCCGTTATCTCTGGAAATCGTGCTCACTAACGCCATATTTGAACCACTCGACAGCTATATTTATGTTGACCTCGATCGCCGCATAGCTTATGGGAGGGCAAGGATTTGAATGGCGTTATTATGGCATCATGGATGCCTGGGTAACCTTGAAATAGTCTCCCAAAAAAGTCAGCACATCTTTGCCCGCGTGTAGCTCAGAAACTAGAGGGGCCATAAGCAGGGCAGGGCTGTGAATTGCACCGCATGATCAAGATGGCTGTTCCAGTTTAAAACCCAAACAAGAGTGAAACACTTCCTTTAATTCATTGTTTTAGCTGTGTACCGTACGTACTCACTCGGTTATCCGGAAGTCTTGACACCCAACTACGGCTGTTCGGATATACATGATGGAGCCCCCTGGCTTCGCCCACGAATAAAATGGATGTTTGGACATTTGAACACTATGTACATCAAACTGTATGACCTTACGCTGTGTCAATCCAACCGCAATTGCCTACCAGAAAGTTGTGCTCGCCACTCTGTTGTCAGACACCATCTTACGAAATACTGCGCCGACAGCTTGGGACAGAGCAGCACATTAGCGCTGGGCAGAACTAGACTAGCAGCAGGCTAGCATCCAGGCTAGACCGGCGTCACACTAAACTGGCATCAGATGGGACGAGCCTAACAGCACACCATGTTACTGCAATGTCACGATCTTCAGATCAAGTCACGTCATTCCACTGCAGAATGCGCTAGTATGCACCATTAGCAACATCCTACATTCAGCTCAATCGGTACAGCGGTTCCCCACATGGCTTTTGAAAATAGATTTCCGTGTTTAATAAGCGATGCAATTGCGCGGTGTATACCTTGGGAAGGCTTGATCTAGGGACATGTATACATACACGGACTGATCAGCACGCCATGTATGCATACATGGCGCGCTGATCAGTGCCGTTCCCTTGCTAGTGACACAAGATTTTGCTCGATCGGCCTCGCAGTTCCCAGCATAATGTTTGGCAGCAGTCTTCGCATTTGACACACACTGGCATTGACTGAAGAGCATAAATCGGCGATAGCTCGATCTGAGATCGAGAATCTACATCTGCAGGGTGCGCTAGTCCACCTCCATCTTATGAAGCCGGATTTGACCCGATCGACCCCGGAGTTCATTCTGTGATATTTGACAGAAGATTGAGGCATTTGTACTTCTAATGGTGTTTATTTCTGCATTGCCGATGCGGCCTAAGGTCACGAAACTGCACACATCTGATGTGCGGGCTCTGAGCAGTCTATCGCGCGTTAAGCTTAAGACCAGTAGTTCCCGGAAACGTGTTTGGCAGTTATGGCAGTAATTCGGTGCCGGGCGGAGGGCGGTTACAGCACCAAGAGGGTCAGACAGGCCTCGGGCTTTCCAGTTGTCGGAAACCGACTGCTTAAACGCCAAGCTGACGCAGCTGACTGCGGCACACGGGACTCTGTTCTACTCCTCCACCGACCCCGGTCACTCGAGCCGCTGCCGTCCGATCAATATGCTGACCGGGATCATGCGACAGTGACGACGCCTTCGTATACACCACGGAGACACTAGCATTCACAGAGGCTCTTCAGTTTGCTGTTTACCCTTCCCAATATCTATACAGGAGTTCGCACAACTGAGGTTGCAAATAAAACAATATCCTGCCGAATCCCGCAACTTTGAAACAAAAATGCGCGAGATATCGCTCAGCGTGCAATAATCCTGCGCACTAATAAACTGCTATCATGGGGCAAATAATGCTCGGAAACCAATCAGTTTTGCGAGCGTTGCGGTTGTAATGCTTCCGGTTTGTATACTTATTCACAGAAATCTAGCCCAACATTTTGCAGGCACCAAATAATCGACTCCAAGCTCAGTGATCACAATTCGTACCAGGTAGTGCTGGTTAAAAAAGGCTCAACCGCGTTCCAGAAAACAATATCATTTCAAGCTGATCGTTTTTAAGTGGCATGCAGCGTCACAACACTACAGCCTCTCTCCAGTTATGTTCCTGTTTCGGCCAGTTGCCACCTGTCGCAATAGGTTATCCATATGTACTTGATTTTCATTGCCAGCTTGAAACGGGGGCATAGCTGCGCGCATGTGGCACAACACAAGCTGAGCACCAGGCAGCTTCTAACGTATGATCTATTTCACATAATTTGTACCGATCTCTTTAGATCCAGCTTACGTGAAGAGGGCTCTATACCCTAAGAGCCCACCATCGAAGTATCACGAGCTTGTCTCGAAAGATAGTGTTGCTCCCACCGGACACGAATGTGAATAGGTTGTTCTGGCGCTGGCTAGTGGCACAAGCCCCCACCATACCGGTCCCTCTGGCTAGTTATGTACTGACATTGTCATACCGGTCAGAAGAGATAAGAAGGCAGAATACAAGCCACAGTAAACATATATATATATATATATATATATATATATATATATATATATATATATATATATATATAAACATGTGCTGAGTCCAGAGCGCCATGAATGTCAGTGTAATGTAACCGTTCACCCCCCAAAAAAACTGCACGATTGACTTCAGCGTCAACTTTATGTCTCGAATTAGTGCACCTCCACCTTTGTACACAGGCTCGCGGCCAGGCGGGTGCACTGGTTGTTCGTACACCCCTGACATTTGGGGTGCACCCCCAGCCTCGTTCAGTGTGAGCGCATCCCTATACTCCGGCGTGGGGGTGCTAAGAAGATTGAGTATGGCCGTTCCTGGCGTTGGCGTTCGCAGCAAATCGTAAAACAGCACAACATAATCGTCACAGCCCGGACAAGGGATCGCGTATGCACCAAGTGCGTACCTTTTTCCTGGTACACCCCGGGGGTTTGGTCAGCCAACAGGCATGTCTGTCCTGCTAACCCCGGGGGTTTGGTCAGCCAACAGGCATGTCTGTCCTGCTAACCCCGGGGGTTTGGTCAGCCAACAGGCATGTCTGTCCTGCTAACCCCGGAGGTTTGGTCAGCCAACAGGCATGTCTGTCCTGCTAACCTCGGGGTTTGGTCGGCCAACAGGCATGTCTGTCCTGCTAACCCCGGGGGTTTGGTCAGCCCACAGGCATGTCTGTCCTGCTAACATTTGCGAACCGGCCATGAACGGCATGGAAATGAGCGGCGGTGGGGCCGGCGGCGGCGGCGCGCCGGTCAGCGCACACTCACAGCTTGAAGAAGAACAGCGGCGTCAGGTAGCCCGGGATGATGACGTGCTCCTTGTTCAGCAAGATGGCAGTCTCGATCTGATCCGCCACATACTCCGGCTCCAGGAACGGGATCACACTGAAGCGGAATAGCCACCGCTGTCAAGGCCAGTGGCGGCGGCACCTCTGTCGAGTTGACGGATGGTTACCTCGGTTTTTTCCTGCGCCGTCGTAGGAGTGTTGTTACATGTCGCAAAGGGTTGGAGGGAAGGGGGACGACTGCCCGCTCACCTGGTCGTGAAGTCGGGATATCATCACTCGCATGCCCCCCGGAAGTGAGAAAGCGCCATCTGCCAGGGCGTGAGCAGCGACCGTCCCCAATTGTGCATCATACGGGAGTTGTAGTGATCATCGGCAATTCTCCGGAGGGAGCAGCAGTGATCGTCAGCCATTCTCCGGGAGGGAGCGGTAGTGATTATCAGCCATTCTCCGGGGGGGGGGGGGGCAGTATTCATCAGCCATTCTCTGGGAGAGCAGCAGTGACCATCAGGCATTTTCCGGAAGGGAGCAGCAGTGGTCATTGGATATTCTCCGCAGGGGCAGTGATCACCAGCCATTCTCTACGGGAGCAGCAGTGATCATCAGCCATTCTCCGGAATGGAGCAGCAGTGGTTATCAGCCATTCCCCGGGGGAGCAGCATTGATCATCGGCCATTCTCCGGGAGAGCAACCGTGATCATCAGCCATTCTCCGGAAGGGAGCAGCAGTGATTATCAGCCATTCTCCGGAAGGGAGCAGCAGTGATCATCAGCCATTCTCTGGGAGAGCAGCAGTGATCATCAGCCATTCTCCGGAGGGGCAGTGATCATCAGCCATTCTCTGCGAGAGCAACAGTGATCATCAGCCATTCTGGATCATCGGCTATTGATCATCGGCTATTCACCGGAGGGACGAGCAGTAATTATCAGCCATTCTCCGGGAGGGAGCAGCAGTGATCACCGGCCAGAAGGGAGCAGGAGTGCATTCAGACGCCAAACGATCATAACCGGAATCCCACTAATAAGTGATAATCGTACACCAGAGGAGAACGACACAACGATTACCATCTGACCACTAGACAAGAACGAGACAGCAATCACCATCTAAACACTATGAGACAAGAGCGACACAGTGATCATCACTGCGGACGCCAAGGGCGCGATAGAGCAATTCTTTATTTTTTATCAATAGAATTTCTGTGTGACATCTCCAGTCCCTTACACCGGGCTGTGTGACATCCCCAGTCCCTACACCGGGCTGTGTAATATCTTCAGTCTCAGTGGCGGGCTGCGTGACATTCCCAGTCTCAGTGGCGGGCTGTGTAACATCCCTTGTCTTAGTGGCGGGCTGTGTGACATCTTCAGTCTCAGTGACAGGCTGTCTGACATCCCCAGCCTCAGTGGCGGGCTGTGTAACATCTCCAGCCTCAGTGGCGGGCTGTGCGAGATCTTCAGTCCCTGGCACACACTTACGTTGACTTGGCGCCATCAAACATTCCCGTGTTGATGAAGAACGGGCAGATGACAGTGGTGTGCACATCGTCGTGGCCTCCCACCTGAAATGCATTGGGCAATGCCACTGAAGCAACAGGAAGGAACACACCGACAACGAAGACTTAAGAAAGAACCATGCCTCCCCTCGGACAAACGGGGACTCATTTGGGAGCTGTCTGTTGTAATGCAAAGCAAGAGACAGCGAGTCCGGTATCTCAGCGTCCGCGGCGCACACTTCACGTTGATACCGTTTTATCAGCTGCTGCCGTGTTGCTGATGCTCAGTTACACCACGGCACGTGATACGGGATTAATAATAAGCTGCCCAATCTCTCAGGGGTTTAAGTGTGCTTGGCCGGGTTACACAGACAGTGTAATCTCACCGTCCCCGTGTACCTGACAGGATTCATTTCGATTGTTTCTGATAACAGTGAGTCCTTTACAAACTCGCAGTGATTCCACAGAAGCAGAGGTCATAAACAGATACACCGAAGACGTTTGACGGCCGTAGGTTGCGCAAAAGCCCGCCGTGAAAGAGCACGTGAATCGAGCGACACAATTACGTTGGCTTCCAAATACGGCACAAAAACACTGGCTGCAACGCTACACAAGCAGCCATCCAGATAGCATCTTCAGCTATTGGAAAGCTTTAAATAAAGCATGCATGCATTGACACAGACCCGCCGCTGAACACAACTGACGATAAAGGACCTCCCCGGTCTGATCCAGACGACCTGTGCGCCCCGGTCACAGACCCTCCCCGGTCTGATCCCGACGACCTGTGCGCTGCCGGCAGTCATCGCACTGCAAGGCGACGAATAAAGGGACGCATGTGCCCATTCGCTTTAAGAGTGGATACCGATTTCGAATTACTTAAAATGTTAGAATGCATCTGTGGGTGTAGCGCCTCTGTCAAATACAGACAACAGTTTCATGACGCAAGGAGAAAAACCAGAGTGGCACGGTTTCTGCGCTTTGCACATTCAGTTATTTTGGAATCGTGGTAACAAGGAAGCATAAGCATAAGCATAAGCATAAGTATGTAAGCCCCACGGACGCGGTACAAGCTTGCACGCGTCTTAATGCTCTGAAGAATATCTAAATTTCAAATAGCTCTACAAGTCGTTCGACGAAGCTTGCCCGCGAGCAGCGACGTCCAGAGTCCTAGTGCGGGTGCTAAGCATCACTGCATAATTTGGCCTTAGATTCACCTGTCTAACCTTATGAAAATGTAACACTTCGCCTGCCATGGATGCATGGGGACGCCCCCCCCCCCCATGCGCAGCTGGGCTTTTACCGCAGCGTTTTAAAGCCAGTTCATTCCACAGGGGGGGCGGGGAGATCACCTTCAGCTCAACGGTGAGCGACTCGTGGAAGCCGACGGCGGCGAACTTGGAGGCGCAGTAGTCGGTGAGGCGGCTCATGCCCTGCATACCGGCCAGGCTGGCGATGTTCACCACGTGGCCCCTCTTGGAGGCGATCATGTCCGGCAGGAACGCCTTGCAAGTCTGCACAAGAGGGCGCCGGCGTCAGTCGGCCTGCGTCTGAGGCAGGTCGCTCGTGTTCGGTGGGCGCCGCTTGTGGCGGGCGCTCGCGCCGCGCGGCTTGTGGCCGGTGGGCGCCGCGCCGGGGGTCAGCAGCGGGCGGTGGGCGCCGCGCCGAGGATCAGCAGCGGGTGGTGGTCCGCACGCCGGGATCAGCAGCGGGCGGTGGTCCGCACGCCGGGGATCAGCAGCGGGCGGTGGTCCACACGCCGGGATCAGCGGCGGGCGGTGGTCCGCACGCCGGGGATCAGCAGCGGGCGGTGGTCCGCACGCCGGGGATCAGCGGCGAGACGGTGGTCCGTGCGCCGGGGATCAGCGGCGAGCGGTGGTCCGCACGCCGGGGATCAGCAGCGGGCGGTGGTCCGCACGCCGGGGATCAGCAGCGGGCGGTGGTCCACACGCCGGGGATCAGCGGCGGGCGGTGGTCCGCACGCCGGGGATCAGCAGCGGGCGGTGGTCTGCACGCCGGGATCAGCAGCGGGCGGTGGTCCGCACGCCGGGGATCAGCGGCGAGACGGTGGTCCGTGCGCCGGGGATCAGCGGCGAGCGGTGGTCCGCACGCCGGGGATCAGCAGCGGGCGGTGGTCCGCACGCCGGGATCAGCAGCGGGCGGTGGTCCGCACGCCGGGGATCAGTAGTGGGCGGTGGTCCACACGCCGGGGATCAGCGGCGGGCGGTGGTCCACACGCCGGGGATCAGCAGCGGGCGGTGATCCGCACGCCGGGGATCAGCGGCGAGACGGTGATCCGTGCGCCGGGGATCAGCGGCGAGCGGTGGTCCGCACGCCAGGGATCAGCAGCGGGCGGTGGTCCGCACGCCGGGGATCAGCGGCGGGCGGTGGTCCGCACGTCGGGGATCAGCAGCGGGGCGACGGGACTCTTACGTCTCGAAATAAAAAGGGCAACCCATGGTTGATCTACGGGTTCTTTTGCTTTCAACACAAAAAACAACCGCTAGCCTTCTTTCATTCATATGGAAATCGCGTAAAATCATAATGAATCCTATAATGTGCAAGACGTCAGCCGATATATTATGATGCATGATAATATATATATATATATATATATATATATATATATATATATATATATATATATGTGTGTGTGTGTGTGTGTGTGTGTGTGTGTGTATGTGTGTGTGTGTGTGTGTGTGTGTGTGTGTGTAAATACCCGCCTTAGACATCGCTTCGATACATTGTGCACCATTATCATGACACAATGGCAGAAAGTTATCATAAAATACGAGTGCATTTGACAGACCCCGGGAGGCATGACAACGGTCATAGTTACCGCAACTAAGCACAATTTCTCAAAAGACAAACAGGAAAGCTTGGAAACTACACCATCACGCGACGAAAGATCTTTTACATTTCGCATGAAAAAAGCAACTTCATAATTCACAGAAGATATGCAGACCCCGTGGTATTTAACGGTGACTTCTTTTGGTGACTAAGACGTGGTTCTAAAATCCTAAGGTCGCGAAAATTGCTGCGACAATGAAGAACGATCACTCGATGACGATGACTGTTACGACGTGATGATCGAAACGCTGACAAATTACACAAATGATAGCGACTCTTGTCCTTGCCACCAAGTTTTTACCGTCTCTTACTTAAATATATATATATATATATATATATATATATATATATACATATATATGTGTGTATATATATATATACATATATATGTGTATATATATATATATATATATATATATATACATATATATGTATATATATATGTATATATATCTCTCTCTCTAAATGTGTGTGTGTGTGTGTGTGCGTGTGTGCGTGTGTGCGTGTGTGCGTGCGTGCGTGCCTGCACGCGTGCGTGCGTGCATGCGTGCGTGTGTGCGTGCGTGCGTGCGTGCGTGCGGACGGGCGAGCGTACGGGTGTGCATGCGTGCGTGTGTGTTCGAAATGCAAGTTAGTAGTTGTCAAGGTTTTACTGATTTCAGAAATACCCATTCAAAGGCACGGCGGCATTGAAACGCGCCTCAGGCTATGTGACGTCACCGAGCGCTGGCGGGCCGTCCGGCGACCGGTAGGATTACGGCATCGAGTCGGCCGGTACAACGCTGTCTGTTCACGTTTTCTGTTCACGCTTGTCGTAAAACGGGGAACGGGGATTGACATCGGCCTAGCGTTCTTTTGAAGAAAAAAAACTCTGATGAAGGTATTAACACATAAACATCCTCAGCACGTGCTGGGAACGTACCTTTTCGACAACATATTGTTCCTTTTCAGTCCTCATTGGCATCTTGCTGTGCCGAGAACGGTTTGGACGAGCCGAAAGACAACAAAATAGTGTACATGTAAGCAAACAAATGATATAATTTGCCCTGTCCACCCTGAGTGACCCCTGCCAATACCGGGTCAGCAAGCGTCCCTCCCCACCCGCACCCCACCCCGTCCCACGCACGGAATGGCGAGATCATCGGAATGTTCCCCGACTCGTTCCGAGTGTGCCCCGGTGTCTGGCAGCGCTCCTCGCCGCCGAAACTGCCAAGTCATCGCCACTTTCGCCAGTCCGACGGACGGCGCTGGCGGAAAGCTAACGAAAGTGACGCAACGTGACGGTCCGGCGCGTCGGCGTTACGTCCACACAGCGCCATGCCGTGGGGGGGGGGGGGGGGTGGGGCGGGGAACGGCACCGGTGGTCTCTAGGCCGGCCGCGCCGGCTGGGGACCGCGGGAATACTGCAGTGCAAACCCCAGGCCGTTCATTGCCGGCTGGGCTGCGTGTCCAAAATATGTTACGGGGATTAAATTCGTCCGACATTAGTTCGTTCGTTTCTCTGTAAAAACAAACACGGGCGTTAACGTGAAAAATGCAGAAACCTACGAGTGTCCTATGGACGCACAAAAGGAAGATGCTTCAGGCACGCTGCTCATTTTATCTAGCGCACATGAACGAAAATCAGCGAGCTGATGTGAAAAAAGGCATAATTAAGCCCGATGCCGGTTGGACTAGCATCACCCCGCTGAGTCCCGGCCGGACCCGCACGCGACAGCAGGGTCTCACCTGGAAAACGACTACACGGCAGATTCCAACTGGTCTCATTTGACCCAGCACAGCCCCGTTAGCCTAACCCAACGCAGCCGTCCCGCTTGGTTACCACAACCCAGCAGTCCTCGCTCATCTAACACGGCACGGCCGAGCTGGGGCGATACAACACAGCAGAATCCCTCTGGGCTAACCCGACACCGCAGTCCTCGCTGGCCCGACGCCACACCGCTCAGCGCCGGCTGGTCTAAACGTGACGCCGCAAAGCGACGCTGGGCAAACGTCAAACAGCCCGGCTCAGCCTGTCTCATGTGACATAGCAGAGCAAGGCTGATTTGACCCGGCACGGCCGAGTCCCGCCAGATTCTTGGTTTTATGATCAGCGACCTCATACACAAGAAGCAAGTATTCAACAGGACAACACGACATGGTCGAACACGGCACGGCGAACACAAAGTCGCTGCCTAGCTGGTCCAGCACATATCAGCAGCAGTCTCAGCTAGTGTAACACCACATGTTGGAGTCTAGGCTAAGCTAACACGGGGCTGCAGAGGCCCGGCTGCTTCAGCACTAGTGTAGCACTACATATATGGGAACCCAGGCCGAGATAGCACAGGGCTGCAGAGGCCCGGCTGCTTCAGCACTAGTGTAACACTACATATCGGAACCCAAGCCGAGCTAGCGCGGGACGGCAGAGGCCCGGCTGCTTCAGCACTAGTGTAGCACTACGCATATGGGAACCCAGGCCGAGCTAGCACGGGCTGCAGAGGCCCGGCTGATTCAGCACTAGTGTTACACTACACATCGGAACCCACGCCGAGCTAGCACGGGGCTCCAGAGGCCCGGCTGCTTCAACACGCCATAGCAGCGTCTCTGCTCGGCTGATAAGAGACAGTAATCTCAGCTGCTTCAAAACGGCACAATCTCGGCTGGGGCGACACGAGACAGCTCAGTACTGGCCAAACTGGCCTCACGCAACAGAGCAGTTTCGTGGCCGGTGATTGTCAGTGGGACTAAGTGGGACCGTCAGTGGGACTAAGTGGGATCGTCAGTGGGACTAAGTGTGACTGCCAGTGGGACTAAGTAAGGCCGTCAGTGGGACTAAGTGGGACCGTCAGTGGGACTAAATGGGACTGCCAGTGGGACTAGGTGGGACCGTCAGTGGGATTACGTGGGACCGTCAGTGGGTCATCACGTACATACCCAGAAGTGAGCGAGCGTGTTGACCTCAAACGTCTTCTCGATCAGCTTGTCTGGAATCTCCAGCAGGCGATTTCCGATGACCATGCCGGCATTGTTAACTAAAATGCTGACCTGGAACGTCAAATTAAGGTCAGGACACGGAACCAACCCGCTGCCACAAGAGTCGAACCATCTACAGCGACTGGATGAAGCCGCACTTTGCCCCACGTAAAATGATACTTTGTCGCACATAAGTACCACTTATTCGTCCTTAACTAACATCGCAGCACCAAACTGTGATGTTATGAAAAGCTATAAAAGACGCAAAGCGAACGCGTATGCCTGTAGATGCCAGCGCTCGAGAGCACGCCCAGGCACGGCTTGTTCCCGATATGCGCTTATGTAAATGCATGGATGTGTGTGAGTAATAAAGGGAGGGCCCCTCTCCTCCCATCAAATGTTTGCATGCTGTCGGGAGTGAATGCCGACCGAATATCTGCCACGGGACGGAAGCCGGTTCCATCAGCTACCGAAGCCGCTCTGGGCACGCAGCAGCGGCTTTAGCCGAGGCCACCGGCGCGCTGTCTGCCTGGCGCCGGAGCGATCGGCTCCTGGCGCCCGGCCAACCCTGCCCCAACGCCGGCACGCGGAACAGCAGCACGCACGAGCAGTCGGTGTTGGCCGGGTGCTGAGGCATCGACTGATAATGGTTACTAGATGTGACTAGTAGACGGCAATCTCCGCTTCCAACGGGAGCCATTTGCCCGGGATACAGGGGTGTGGTTTCCTATCTCATTTTTTTTCTCTTTTAGGGAGGGCTTGTAGCTCAGAAACCAGACGGTTTTTGGTCTTAAGAAGGGCAGGGCTAAGAACTGCACCGATCTATCTTCAAAACGTCTATTTTGGCTCGAAACACTACACAAATGTGGAACAAGCCCTTCAATCGAATACATTAACACCAATATTGCTTGCCAAAGGACACACAGGTCTTTAAACGCAGAGGCAAGCCCCGACTCAAGTCATGACAGCCCAACCCAACGAGACTTTTTCGACCCAGTTTTTACCGTTGAAGCGCCTAGCTAAGTATGAGGCATCATTTGACTGTCACAAAACAAACATCCATTAACACACTCGATGATGTAATCAGGCAGTTACAGGTGTAACAAACAGAGGGATCAGGGCACAAGTGAATGAATAAAATCACTTTGTGTGACGACTTCATCATGGGTCGTGACGCAGCTGACACAGCGGATTAATGTGAACAGGCTCCGTGGTTTGCGTATCTTCTTTCTGGCATACAGGGGCTGAGATGCAAACTTTGCGAGAGCTACCATGCGCAGCAGCTCGCCCCTAGTTTTCGTACTTTGGGAATGGACTGCACTTGAAATTCACTAGCAGTCAGGACGCAAATGCGAGCACGTTCAATGAAAATCAGTACGTCACTGGGGCTTTGTGATGCACTCAGCTGTTGAGCCTATACCATACCGCCCGCTTCTCATACTGGCAGGAAGAGCGGAGATCGAAGGTGATTGAACTACGCACGTCCGGTTTCCCCGACGCACAGCTTAACCACTACATCACTAGTGCCCATTTCAGTTGCCTTTGAGGGCATTTCTTCAGCCGTTTTTCTACATCAATGTGGCTTGTTTAGCAATTGATGAAGCCAGCTCAGCCAATGCAACAAAAGCCTTGGCCCCTCTGACGTAACGTAATATATCGCAGGTCATACCTGTCGATGTCTAATAGTGTGCATCTGATAAATGTTTCCAGAAGCTATTCAACGCCGTTTTTGACATTGTCGTGGCATCCTGTGTTCTAAAAATAACAGCGTGATAACAGCGGGAGAATTAAAAAGTACTCAGCTTCTTCGTGGCTCTAGCTTCCTTTGGTTTGTTAGAGGTCTTAGTCCTCTTAGACCGCTGTTAGAAGGTTCAAATGACCACCCGCGCCAATTTTGGGGCGAGAGGTGGCCCCATTAAACTCAATGCAAAGGTTGCAGATGTTTCTGATCGGCCTCTGGCTTTCATGCAGGGCTGGAATCTGCGAACCCGTCGCAAAGGCGGAGCCTGCTGCGTTTGCTTTGCTGTGAGCCCATTGGGGCGCACTGTTTACACAGTCCGGGTCCAGACGTAGCCTTGAGTCGCGTCACCGGTGACACACCCCCTCCTAGTCCGAAGTCCAGCGGCGTCACCGCGTGCAACACAACCAGCACACGCTCATGTGTTTAAACTCCGACGGCTTCCAGTCTCGTGGCGGCTGGCCAGGCGCCAGCCGAATTTCTTGCATGCATAAATGACCAATACAATGTACCAAAAAATATAGTAAATAGATGCAACTAAAGGGATGGATGCAGTCAATCAATTAATAATTAATTGTTTGTAGGATGATGTGACATCACATTGTCAAGACACGATGACAGGATAGCGTGTAAAATTGATTGGCAAATTTGAAAGCATTCTAATTGCCTTCAGAGTTAAATGTACCATTAAAATAAAGATTACGAATTGATGTTTCAAGTCGATAAAACGAGCCTTGGAAAATCAGTTAAGAACAATGCGCAGTACACCCTGCTTAAATCAGATGAAATCAAAGATGAATCAGAATGAGCTTCCGTCTGTTTTGCGTAATATCACCCGTTCAGTAAAACAAGTCGTCAGCTATGACAAGGGACATTGTGAGCAAAGCCTAAACAACATGTCCGTTATGAAAGAAAGCGTATGCTTCGTTATGCTTCCCGTAAACAAGGAAGGCCTTGGGCTCCTGGTTTTTGCGGCATTATGAGCTTCTTATTCTTATACTGACAACAGTCAAACTTCAATACGCCTTGAGATACTGGTTAAAGGACATTATCAAGCGAGCATTGGCTAATTTGTATTGAGTTTTGACAGCTGCAGCAGCGCTTCCTTGATTACGTCGCTTAGCCAGTCCCTCCTGGTAAAATGATGGTTTCCTATTGTTACGATAAGATTCAAACTGATATATCCCAAGTTATGCACTAATCGAGCATCAGTATTCCGTTCAAACACGTCACATGCTTCCAGGAGTAATTCATGATTGTCAGCGTGTAGGACACAAGCCGTAGCACCAAACAAATGAAAGGTCCACAAAAACTGCGGTCTACTGGGACGAAACATGAGCTTAAAGAGCATGATGCCTGGGGAAGCAGACTTGCACCTGGTGCGTTTCAGATTTATGATCAAATCACGGTTCACCCAAAATTTGCATGTACCGAGCCTGATGTAAATCATTTGTCTTTGACCAGATTCAGGACCAGGACGGGTTCGATTCTTGTTGCTTTCATTCAAAAGCAGCGATGGCTCTCAAAATAAGAAAAATAACAGTTTGAATGACTGACGACCGTGGGCTGATAAACAGCATTGCAGCATGGCTTATCCATATCATTATTTTATGCCAATACATATAAATTTCCACTAATAATAAATAATGCAAGAACATGAAACTATTTACGCACACACTACATGAATCCAATACACATGGAAGTCTTACAAATCTACGCATAAAGGGCGCGTTAGGTTTTAAGCCTCTTTGTCGGCTCTCGTTAAGAGTCTAAGGAATTCCGTCACACCACACCATGGCACCCCGGAGAGAGGAGGCAGGTATTCGTCTTCCAAGGCCAAATTCACTGGCGGCCCCAATCGTGATCGCAGAGAAAAAGACGGATCCGACAAAGCTCCCAGCAAGCTCACCCAGGCTAGACAAACAATGCTAGAGCTCTCAAAACGGCTCAACGTGAGCGGTGTTAGAGCGACACAAGCTACAGAACTTTCTGGGCAGAGCAGACCGGTTCTAATCCTATATTCGCGGAGCATACAGAGCCCTGAGAAGGGCCGCGTTGTGAGCTCACTGCGGCAGTCCGACTGCTGCTCTGAGATTAAACGCAAGTCAGGTCTCCATGCGCCCAATGTCTGCTTCGGTTCAAGCAGCTCGTGCGCTCCAAAGACGAGCACCGCGGCCGCCGTCGTGCGCCACAGGAAAGGCGGCGGGCGTGACAAATAATTATCGTATTGTTGAAGCCTTCTAACGTTTAACTCTTATTGAACTGTTTGCATAGGGCACGGTCAGTTTCGGAGGATTGTCTTCTATTATCAGCGTTCATATGACCTTGCTACTTACTAGCTGTTAACAATTATCACACAAGCGGTGTTCTTTTTATGAACGTTTGAATTTACAGCCTGGAAGTTCAAGTGACGTTTTGTTTTTTCTTCATCCTCCTGCAGTTAACTACCGCATCGCGCAACCGTGTGGTTTTCTATCCTCAGCTGCGAAGGACCGCATGGTGCACACATGTTGTGTTTTCTGCACTCAAGTTGCGAAGGATCGCGTTACGTAGCCGTGTGGTGTTTTTCTACACTTAAGCCGCGAAGGACCCAATTATGAGGCCACTTTGCACGCAGATAACATTGTGCATCTATTAGGCGCTGAAAATGTGAGCCATGTCAGGAAAGCGAGCCTCGAACTTGAGGAAATCATGTCCAGATGTTTTACCAACTGGTCTCTAACTCACATGCCTTACCAATTGATGATTCAACATTTCTTTAGCTTACTGCATGACCACGGCTGATGTTGAATCGTATTTATTGGAAATATCACGCTATTCAGGATGTTTTAATTTACGGCTGGAAAGTTTACATGGTATGTTGTTCGTTTGCTGTGCTTCGGCTATGAATGACGGCATCACGCAGCCGCTTTGCAGACATGTGATTTCGCTCACCTAACAGGAACTGAAAATGTGGACATCTCCGGAACATCCAGGCGGCCGCACCATGTGACCTTTCACGGCCGGATTTATCAGAAAAACCACAGGGCGTTCCAATAGGTTTGAATAGCGTTGACTTGACTGCTCTCAAGTCATCATTGCCCTTTAGTAATAAAGGATTCCGGATCACCTCTGTTGATTTGATCGAACCAACCGTTGATTCAAAGAACATTGGAAAACTAATGAAAAGTAAGCTTGATTCCGATAATTATTCGGCTTCAGTCATTTTTAGTTGAAGTCGATTCTGCTCATGTAGAGTCGGCCACAGCACCATTCTGCGGCGCAGTAAGTCGTTTAGTCTTTGCCATCCGCACCTGTCTCCCCGTGGCAGAACTGATGGGTGGCACGTCACGTG